TTTTTTATCAACCGGAGCCAGCTCAGCAATGCATTTCTATAACACGACGGCTGGATCTTTCCCGTTGTCTTCACTTGGTTTTGGAGTTTCAATTTAGAAAATGAAGTTTCTAGACCGTCTGACGGGGTTGTAACTATATCCATTATTTTGGACAACAGTTCTAAGGGGAAAATCAGATGTAATCCAAATGAAGTTTTTTTCTGAGTTAGGAAGAAAATTTCCGAGCAAAGCATTCAACTTTATCTAGTAGATGTCAGGACATCAAATTGATTGAATAGAGGAGGGTTTGTTTTGTTGTTTTTTTTTAACGGCGTATCAACCTCAATTGGTTATGTAATGCCGACAAAATATTTATTGCTGGTAATATTTTGTTTTATCAAAAATCTATTTCTAGTAATATTTTCCTTCAAACATTGTATCGCTGGTAATAATATTTTCTTTTTCAAAAATGTATGCCGGCAATAGGTTTTTTTTCCTCAAAAATTTATTGCTGGTAATATTTTTTTACAAAGTATTTATGGTATTAAAGCTGATTTTACACTTCCATAATGTTTTACCCCTGTTTTAGGATTAACTTTTTGCCCATACCTGGGACCCTAACAAAGTTTTACAGCTATATAATCAGGGTTTTTATCGTCATTGGCTGAATAAGAGGTTATAATTCCACGCTCCTCAAAACCTTCCCGATCACAGGCTTCGCTGATGGATACGAAGCTATCGTCATACCCAATACACGTTGAATTGAGAAGGGATTGGGGGATTTACTTTTGTTCAAAGATAATCTTGCAGAGACCGAATAGTCTCTAGAACCGAAACCAAGGAGATAACGAGGTTCAAGTTGGTTTTCCTTGTGTCAGCAAACAGTAAATTATGCTTCCACACAGAGGACAGAGACGCGCATTTTTTCAAATTATTAAAAAGAAGACACTTTTTATAAATCTTATTTATTTATCCGTTCGTTGATAACAAAGTAAAAATGGTTTGTTTTCCTTTTTACTGGGGCGGGAAAAAAGGAAAAAATAAAAATAAATAAAAAAAGCAATAAAAAAGGATCAGGAGATTTAAGAAGAAAATACCAAAAGACTAACATACGGTTTCCCATGTCCAAATAACAAGATAAAGCAAATATATTTTCTTGCGTCACTATGGGAAAGAGATAAAAGTTTGTAAATTGGGTTCAAACCAATGAAAATTAGAAAGATAGGTTTAGATAGACATCAATACACACACGCACACATGCACACGTGTACCACACGCATATATTTATACATATATATATATATTAATTTTCCAAAAAAATTTTCCAACTTATTCAAGATGATCTACACACTCTTTAACTTTCTAACTTTCTGTCCTTAGCAAAAGGTGCCTCAGACGTTTCTTACGATTTCCTTTTCAAGTCTTTTTCACTGCTTTTGACTGTCATAACTAAACTCCTCTCACCGTGCCAAACGTTTAGCTGGATCTTTTTCAATTGATCTCCTTTAAGTTGAAATGATGATCCTTTTCCTTTTGTGAAATCCTCATCTAGTTTTCCCTCTCTACTGTTCCTCGTTTTAAACTTACTGTGGGTTATCTTGAGGTATTCTTTATGGATTTTTAAGCGGGTTGGAGTATGAATGTTCTTTTAAAACGTTGGTCAGTTGAGAAGACTGTATTGACGCAAAACGATTTAATCTGTGTTTTAATATTAACCTAAAATTTTTCAGCGATTCTTAAAGTTGTTGTCAAAGTGGTTAAACGACTTATCTGAAAAGCCCTAAAAAGCTCAATTTGACTAAAAAAAGTTTCGAATATAAAACACATTTGTGAGATGACAATTATGTTGTTACATATTTCTAAACTTTTGCCCAGTTAAATTTAGTATATAAATATCATTTATATATATATATTTCATCCACAGACCATATGTTCTCAACTATACAGCAACTGTCAGTTAATAGTAATTTATATATATAATATTAGAAAAAACGTGTTCAATAACAAACGAATCAATTCTATTAAATACGGCCATACCTTACAAAGTCGATATCCCTGATTTTGACTGATTTATTTTAAATATAGCAAAAATATTTTTAGATCGAGAATAACTGTTTTTTAGAAAGTGATTTTTCCAGATAAATCATATTTAATCCATTGAGCTGGGGTCCGGAATTCTTAATCCTTCTGCTAACTCAGCTGGGAAATACACGCTGTTATAACATACATATTCAAAATATATTGATATATATGAAGAGGAAACAGTGAGTATTTAAAACACAAATTTTTTAAGAGGTAAGGACCTCAATGGATATTTAAGGATCCGAAATACATATTACCAGAATGTCCAGGATTCTATTTTTTCGTCCACGTCCTGAAAACAGAATAATTAATTAAATATATTCATGTTTTTTGCTGTAAATTTTGAATTTTAGGTTCAGATGAATTGGATATATTTACGATTCCAATGGGTAAGAGATTATGACTCATGAAAATTTTTTAAGCATTTTCTTTGAATATATTTAGAATATATATATAAATATATATATCTATTTATATATATATATAAATATATCTAATATTATTAACGATTCGAGAGAAAATTAGTGTACATATTTAATGTAGAGTAAACTTAACACAAGTCCTTTTATCGTCAAAATCAGGATTCCAGGAAAGACCGAACCTTTTTTATTATTCTATTAATATTTTATAATATATAGTAAAATTAATCCTTTAGCTTTCATTTAAAGCTAAATTGGAAAATTCTAGTAAACTTTTTCATTTTAAGAAATCATTTTAAACATTATGTATACCGAATTCATGGAAGTACCTCCTGTAAATTGAGTGAAGAAGACAAATATTTCCGTCAAAATTAAACGGAAATAACCTTTGATCCCTATGCATAAACTTCGATATGCATTTCCGCTCACGACAGAATGTAAAAGGCGTATTTGTTAGTCGAAGATACTGGATTAGGAAGGCAAAACTTTGTGCATTTTCTACTCAATACGTATTAACTTTTCAGTATGTTATACGAAGCAAAACTCATTTATCATTTTTTTTGTTAACAATGACGAGTCTTATTAATATTAGGCACCCACACAGAATGTGGTTTTGATTCAATGCAGCCCATAACAGCCTATTTGATGCATTAAATAGGAAATATATCACGCAATTTGTTTAGGTTATCGTCCGAACAAAGACGGACTTAGTCATTTTTGTATAGATATTTTTTATAGACGGACTTAGTCATTTTGTATAGATATTTACTTTGCAGAATGTAAGCACAAATTTGATACAAATTTTGAGGTGAAGATCAGGTTGTCCAAATCTTTTAAATGGGGAAGATCATTTACCGCCTTAAAGGCGCCGGTTTTGGCACTGACTCCAAGCGATGTTTAGCATAATATGGGCCGTCCAGTGAGGATCAAACTCGGACCAACTCGTTAACCATTACCTTACACTGGTGTTGCAGTAAAATAAATAAATAAAACGCTTTTCGAACAAAGCCACAAGGAGGATCGAACTCGTTAGGTAATAGTCACCTAGACTAGTTTGTTAAACCGAAAATCCACGCCGAGGCTTTTTATTATTTTTTACTAATAGATAAGTTTAGGAATTGTATTATAGAAATATTGAATGTACATGCGTTTTTTTAACACTATCTACATTATTCGGACTATTGTCCTCATCTTTGTCGCCATATTTATCACTACGTTTCGGACTTTGTACGCTCCGGCCTTCTTCAGGTGGTTGGAATGTCGAACTGAACCCTTTATTTCGCTCACTGGGGTAGACTGTTCTAGTTCCACGTGCCATGATTTTTTGATGGATGTCAGTTATCAGTTATCTCCTGTTAATTTCCCTCTGAAAGTTCTCCACTACCTTAATCGGGTATTGAACTCACACTCTTTTGGGTCCTGTCACTGGATCTAACCAACGCCTTTATCCACTGTGCCATATGTCCTTGAGGAGCGAAACGTTGTGATAGTAATGTGATGTAATGTAAATAAGACCGAAACGTTGTGATAGTAGTGTGATGTAATGTAAATAATGTACATAATACCTCATCTCAGAAAATATAGACAGGCTTTTTTTTTTAAGTAAAACTAATTAATAAGGACGCTAACTTACATTGCTTGATCTCGTTTTCTGCTAGTTTTAGAGTTGTTTTTCCATTTTTAGTATTTTAATATGGCGCTGACCACTTTAAAATTCAGTTGTCAGTTGTAACAACCGCTCCAAGTAAAATTGATCTATGGACCACTAATACATTACCATGACTCCCTAATTGGCTATTTTTTTGTGTATATGTGGACTCTCAGTAATGTTACATGGACCTCGGTTGAGAAGTGCATCTGGTGAGTGTTAAACTCAGCCATAGTCTGAAGGACCACTTTACGAACTATTGATACACACCAGACAATCATGTTAGTATGAATGAATCGAAGGATTTGGTTTGGAAGATTTTACAAGTATGGTAGTGTATCTTGATGGTTATACTGCTTGCGAGATTTTTTTTTTCAGAACTAGGGATCGGTGTTCGAAGCCAGCCACTGGAGATTGGTGCAACACACTTTTTTTTAAGCAAATACATCAGAGAATTCAGATGTATTCATTTTAAAACCAGTGTGAAAATGGTCGTGTTTTGTGCTTATGTTAATTTTGTATGTGAACAGATGAATTACGTCAACTTGGTGTGAATTCGTGATTGTTTAATGAGAAGCCTTTAAAGCGATGAATTGATGGAGATATAATTGAATAAATCCCTCGAGAGTGCAGAGGACACAATATATAATGAATATGCAATACTACCCTTGTTTCTTTTATGCAATTGAGTTTCTCCTTCGTGGCCATTTCGTTTATCATTTCATTTGAGTCATTTTTCGTCGAGGCGCTAATAACTCCCCAATTAGATATATCTTCCGTCATGTAAATTTGAACCACCTTAAATAAAATCCTCCACGAGACTAGAAATAAGATTAGTGCAGTGTATAATGGTCTCCCTTCAAATGGACTTATGATTATATCGTTTTGAAACACCAGTTCTCGTGAGATCAGCGAAGTTAAACAACACCAAGCCTGGTCAGTATCTAAATGGGTGACCGCTTGCGGATACCAGGTGCTGTAAACTTAGATGTGCTGATGGTACAATGAAATATCGGAGAGCAGTTCCAATTTCAATGGGGCTCGTTATATTCACCTACGTGCAAATACGCCTCTTCTCCGCCTAGCTATGGGTTAATTAGCAGGACTTGTATCAGTAAATCATTACCTCCGAAAAATTCTTACAATCTAAAAATATTTTCTGGTTTTAAATAACCAGCAAAAGCCGTAAAAATCGATCAAATCAAATTATCTCAGATGATGCCGAAATAGACTTTGCATGCATTTCAGATGGGCCAAGTGCTCTTTTCCCAGCTCCGCGATCACTGTCGCTCTGGCATCGGTATTACACCTACCCAACCTATTTAGGGCGATGAGGAAGTTGTTGGCACAGGGTTGGAATCTGAGCAACTTCTTCCATCTAAAATGAGGAAAATATAGAACCAGTTAAAACACAGGGTTGATAACCAAACCTCAATAAAACCTCATTGGCAATGGTTAACTCCTAGTAAGTATTCTTTTCATTAGTAATGTACATCGACAACTTTACGCTATTGTTAAAGTTGGAGACAATAAACAGTGCTTTTAAGATGCAGTAAAATAATTATTTATTAACTGACGCAATTCACTCCGCTAGAAAGGTGAAAACGGCATGCTGTACTGCTTGGCATTCGCACCGGAAGCTACAACATGAACATTTCAGAGTTTCTGGATGTCAGTCTGAGGCCAGTGCAAAGGATTCGGAAAGTGTTGGATGACATATCAATCAACGTCATGGTGTTTGAAGTGATCATTACTCATCTTCTTAAAGAGCCTCAGACTCAACACAGAGCCCTACATCAAGTGCCTTGAGGAGGTAGTGCTGCGCTGGAAGACCCTATTTCTGGAAACAGGACTCTCTACATGCCACACAAGCAAGAGAATGAAGTCATGGCTGTTAGACAATTTCTGCGACCACGTCACCCTTTACATCTGTCTACCTAACTCCCCAGATTGCAACCCCCCGTGATTATGCACCATGACCCACAGGCAGGAGAACCCAGCCAGACAATTTCTGCAAACACATCACGCCTTTGATCTGGCCACCTAACTCCCAGACTGCGACCCTTTGATTATTATGCGTGGGATGCAGTGGAATGGCGAAAACTAACAAAAATTGTAACACCAAAGATAAACTGAAGGCAATGATTATGACAGCATTTACCAATTTAAGCAAGGAGAAATCCAGGAGGATGCATCAGACTCCTAAATCGTTTGGAGGCCGCAATTAAATTCAATGGCAATTTTATTAAATAAATTTACTCTTTGGTATTTTTAAGATATTTTCGTGTAATTTTGGTAAATATAGCTGTTAAAATGAGATGTCAGTATTATTTTGACTTTTGTGTAATTTAGACAATTTATCCATCGCACTCTGTATATTTTGAATATTAACCTCTTTAATGGGAAGTTTTTTATGTTCATATATTATATGGTCTATAAAATATCAAACTCGACATCAATAATTAACTTAAGCAAATAGCTTCTTCTTTTCTATGCGCCATGTCCCTCAGGACACGGGCAGTTATGACTCTCCACAATTTCCTATTCTTTGTAGCTCTTAATTTTGTATCTGTATCATCTCTCCTAAACCTTGTTCCACCATCTATTTACTCAAGCTCACTATTTATGTTATGCATTGTTTTCCTCTATCCTCCTTATGTTCAATCTGTTCTGTGAGTATTATATTTTCCAAACCCTCTTTCCTCATTATGTTTTAGCCCTAGAAATTTCAGCTGTCTCTTTCCAATGTTAAGTATAAGTGTTCTTTTTTTCTTTTTTTCTCTGTGTATTATTTGTCATTGCTCACATGTCCAGTCTATGATATTCTACGTTTCTGTTGGCTCAATTTTCTTCTTCATCTGTAAGTACATTGTCCAGCATTCAGTACCATATAGGAGGACTGATATTGCATAACAGTTTTGTACTTTTGTTTAAAAAATTTTCCTCCCAATGCGTCTTCGGATTTTAATGTCACACTTTCCGTGCTCTCTTAAAACTTCCCAGATATTTAAATTGTTATACTTGTTTTTGATTTTGGTATTTCCAATTTGTAATCTCCATGTTGGGCTGTTATTTTACTAACAATCCTGCATTTTGTCTTCTAGCATTTGATGTTTAGTCCTTCTCATTTTTCTGTTTACTACAATCTGTAGGAATTCTTGATTCCTTTCTATGTCTATCAACACTGTGTCATCTGCATATCTCCCGTAAAGATGGTGGCCATTTCAATAATTTTTCCTGGTAGAAAAAAAATAAAACTTCTCTCTTTCACTAGTAGGAAAAGAGCGATAAGGGTTAGTGATGTGGGGCCAAAGTCTTTCCACAGAAGTCGCACACATTTGACACGGATTAGATGTAAGAAAGATATCTTAACAACAGGTTACAGAGATTTTCGCGAACCATCTTACTATTTTATGTCAAATGTAAGTAGTCGTACGCCGCTCATCACTTGTCTCTATCTCTCAGTCTAGGGTTTGTGTAGTAGGATATAGGCCTGGAAGAGTTTATTGTCTTCTCAGTTCCGCGTCTCATTCCCCCCCATTTGAATGGTTTGTCCTTTTTTAAAAGGAGACAAAAATAAAAATGTTAATACTTTTTGGACCCTTGGGAAAAAGTTACGTCGAGCGAGGAAGTTGAGTAAATTTATCTTTTCCTTCCTTTCTGATCGTCGCACTTTCAAATTCTTGGGACATGTCGAGATCGAACTAAATCATTTAATCTCTGGTGCGTGAATGTCACACTTTTCCTTAACCATCTGGCATTTTGTATCTTTTCGAATACATTTTATAGGGTTCCGTTAGTAAATTGCATCGCATGCAAATATGATGTTAGGGTCGTAATGTCAAGGTCACCCAGCATGGCGTCCATGACCTGCTGGAAAATTGCAGGCGCAAACATTACTCTAAACGTCAGCCTGTTGTATTTGTACAATCCTCTATACCATGGTTTTGTCCTTTTTTTCTTAATGTTGGTTGAGAAGGTATGCCTCTCAAATTCATTTTAGAAAAAAATTTCCCCTTGAGTAAATTGAAAATTTCTTCAGGGCTTTGGAGAGGATAGTGGTTATCTTGGGCATCGTTTAACCCTGATGGAAAAATTTCGCTCGTATTTGATTGGACTTCTTTTTTTACGTAGACCGTAGGTGCTGCCCATTCGCTGAAATCTGTTTTTGACAGAATACCTGCTTGTTCGAGTCTATCTAACTCTTTTTAATTTGCTCTAGAGCAGCGAAAGGGACATTCCGTTTCTTTTTGAATACCGGTTGTGCACCGTCCTTCACCTTGAACTTAGCTTTCATTTTAGTACATTTCCCAAGGCCGCCAGAAAAAAAACCTGGGGAAATTGTTGTTTGAGTTCCTTTTTAGATTTACCAAATTGGACGTTGTAATTTGTATCTTGCGACAAAATGTACTCATTGGGCAATCCCAAAGATTGAATTTTTCTATCCAATCTGTTCCAAATAAGTTATCTGAAGTTTTTTTCAATACGTAGGCTTTGAGTTTTTGGTAACTCCATTTAGTGTTACTGTAAGTATTACCTCGCCTAAAATGTTAATCTTTTCGCCAGTTACGGATTTTGCTGTTTTATCCGTTTTTAATAAGGTCGGCTTGTTTAATTTTCGCCAAGTACGCCAGTTAATGGTTGAAAGATCGGAACCCGAGTCAAGCTGGAATTTAATGGACTTATTGAAAATATCCACAGTTACATATTTTCTTAAATTCCTATCGACAATATTGTCAGATTGAGCTTGCCTAATTTTATTTTGGGGTTTTCTCGTTCTGTTGGCGTACCAGCACGAAGTTAAAGTATGCCCACTTTTATTGCAATTTTTGCAATATTTTTTGTTCTTAACTGGACAGAATTTCATCCAATGCCATTTACCACAATGGTAACATGGTCCGGGCGGTTTCTTTTAACCTATTTGGGTTTTGGTTACTGCGTAATTTAGGACATGAGATTTGCCTTTTGTCTTTTTGAGGGAATAGGAGGTAGACTTACTTCTGATTTTATTAATCTGAGCCACACCTGATTCCTCGATAGTGTTTGAGTCACACTTTACAGATATTACTCTTTGACAGTCCTCTGCCAGTTTTTGGAGAGTCAATCCTTGTTCGTTGTCAAGCTTGGTCAGTACCCGTCGTCTGATTTCGGCGTCTTCTGCTGATACTAGACCTTGTGCGAAAATTAAACACTTAAAATCATCGGCAGTCAGTTCGGCTAGTTTAAAATCATTACAGAGCTTGTTTACCGATGCTGCAAACGTTAGAAAATCTTGCTGGTTGTCTTTGACCGTGTTCAGGCATTTCCAACGTTTGTGGAACAAGGTTGTGTTATGCCCGAATAGTTCTGATAGGAAAGCTTAATAGTCTCTGAAAAAATCCAAGTCAGTCGTTTTCTTGGGTAGTATGAAGTCTACGAACCTACTATGTTCTGTAGTTCCCAGTTTTCTCAATAGTAGACGTACCTTTTTTTTTACTGGACCATTGTTCACAGTCTACGTTGAAAATATCTTCGTAGCGCCTGTAAAAAGCCTCGAACGTTTTGTCGTTCTCTGGTACGTATTCAAAGGTTTCCATTGAATTGTAGATTGTACTCTGGGAGAATATTGTATCTTTTTTTCAGAGTTTGAGCCTTTTAATGCATTTACGAGTAATTCTTTAAGTTGTTTCTGTTGTAGTTCAACATTCTGAACAGTAATTTTTTGGAATTCCATTTGTTGTTTATGTAATTCCAAAAATAGTTGTTGTCTTTCTTCTGATTTTTTGTTGCTGATCCAAATTTAGTTTTTAGCATTTGGGCAACTTACTTTTTGAAAATCTTCCATATTTAAAAATGACAACGCTTTTTTTTTTGCTTTGAAACCTGTGTACTAAGAGGAGGACACAAAAAAAAAAATGATAGATTTTTTTCTTTTTTTTTTCTTTTACAAAAAAAATATGGACAGACAATAGTTAAACTAAACTAATTATGTGTTTAGATTTT